CACTCAGCCACCTGCCACTGATTTGAAGGGAATGCATTCCAGCTCCAGGAGGACCAGACTGTGGTGGAGCTTCTAGTGCACAAGCGCCCTGTCCCTGCCCCTGTGAGCAGGAGCCCTGCCCCCGACTCTGAGCCCAAGCCCCGCCCCCTGCCTCTGTGAGCTCACGCCCCGCCCCCTGCCTCTGTGAGCACGCCCAGCAGCCCCGCTCTCAGAGGAGTGCATGAGCTCTGCTTCGTTGCGGTCCTCAGTGTTGGGTTCTGGTTAAGTTGTTAGTGATTGTGTAGTTGTTAGTGATCATGTTGAATTTCGGAGCTGGCCTAAGGGAGGTGAGTCATCCCTCAAGCCGTACCTCCAGATGAGAAGAATGTTTTGCTTCAGGAGCAACAGGGTCCAGGCAATCAACATCAATGCCATTGGCAGAAACCCGAAGCCGAAGAGGAACATCAACCGTCTCTCCGAGTACTATGTCAGACATAAAGATCTAAGGAAAATTCACAAAGCTGCACTCACAGGCAACGTAGCCGAAGTGCAACGCATCCTGCTACTACATAAAAATAATTTAAACGAGAGAGACAAATATGAAAGGTAATAGGGCCCAAGGGCGGGCCTGAGGGCTACCTGGGCACGCACCTGTCAGCTAGGCTGGCACCCAGGGTGCTCCTTAGCTTCACCTGGCACCAAGCCTTGGGGGCCCCATGCCTAGGTCCCCTTGATGAGTGACAGAACAAAACCAAGCTTCAGCTGGTTTCAAATCTGCTCCTAACTACTCCTACTGAACACTTTCTTCATGATTACAGAGTGACCTAACTAGCAAAATGAAATAATATGCTTTTCCTTTTTGTTTAGTTTTAGTTTTTGCTATGAGGTGTATGTAGTCCAGGAGAGAGAGACCTAGAGAGAGTGTGTGAGGGGGCGAAAGTGAGGAATCATTCCCTGGGGGGATGGCCATGCACAGTCCTCTTTCCATTTTCCTCTAGGGATCTTGAACCAGTGGGACACACAGACACATGCCTGAGGTGTTTTGTTTTGTTTTTGTACAAGTTTTTGCTATAGGGAATGTGCACTCACCAGAAACACAGAGAGAGACAGAGAGACAGAAAGCAAGAAATCACCCCTGGGGGTTGGGGGGGTATGGCCATGCCACAATCCCTTCTCCTCCATTCTCCTCTTGGGATCTTGGGTACACATGCACATTCGCCCGGCGAGAATCTAAGCCTCCAGGTCCAGAGCTCAAACTGCTGTCAACTACATGGGAGTTCAGCAACATAACCATTATGCTAACTGCTGGTCCCTTCCCTGAGGTGTTTTTCAAGCTACTGGGTGGAGAAGCAAACTGCTAGGTCCACCATGTAGGATTCAACTGCCTTAGTCACTGCCACGGCTGGCCAGTACACGTTTTATTTTAATGTGCTCATTTTAAAAACAATAATATTTTAAAAATGTAAAAAAGTGAGTAATGAGAAAAATTCTCACCATCGTTATTATGTCAGTTCTGGGGTAAAAATTTTTTGAATTAAGTCCAATATCCATTTTATGTCCCTATGTGTATGTGTTCCTTGCCAAGGGTCCTTAGAAAGTTTCAAGTGGGACGATGATTCTTTGTGCTCAAATAGACTCAATTTTCTCTAAATGTGAGCTATTTTTGTGTTTCTCAATTTTTCATTAACCAAATAAAAATATCAAACTCTTTAATGTTTGAGTCACCACAATTGTAATGATGCTAAGAAATTTTTTGTAATGTGGTAAACAAAGATTTGCCTTTCTACATGTCAAAATGTGTTGTTAATTCCCTCAAAATATTGTTGATTAACAGCTGAAAAGACAGGTAAATGAATGGAACATGATAGGAAACCATAAACACCCAAATATATGTAATAATTTAGTATCTCATACTGGCAACACTTCATATTCATTACAAAAAGTTGAATTAATCATAAGTGAAGTGCCTGTTAACTATTTGGAGAAAACTAGCTCTAAGGTTTTAAGTTTTAAAAATAAGTTACTGATGGAGTATAGATTAAGAAAATTTAAATATATGATAATAAAAGTATGAGAAAAAAACAAAAATGCCAATTTATACATTTTTCATGTTGACAAAGACTTTCCTAAGAAGGATCTCAGAGCAATCACTCTGAAGGTTAATTTTAGCAAAATACAAATTGCAAATACATACATTGTCATTTAAGCATCATAATGCTCAGACCCAGTGGCTTAAACTCACGCCAGGCGTGTGTGCATGTGTGCCCAAGATCCCAAGAGGAGGATGGAGGAGAAGGAATTGTGGTGTGGCCATCCCCCCTGGGGGGTGATTTCTCACTTTCTGTTTCTCTGTCTCTCTCTCTGTCTTTCAGTGAGCGCATGTGCCCTATAGCAAAAAAAAAAAAAACAAAAAAACAAACAAACAAACAAACAAAAAAAAACCCTTACTCTCAAAAAATAATAAAAATAAAAGACAACATATTTTCAAAATATTAACAATATGTACATCTCAGGTGAAAAATTGCATCTCTGCTTTATAGAGAATTCTTTCAAACAAAGAAAATGTCCAATTTGGATTTGGGCAAAGTTCTTTTTTGTAGATCTACAAGGGACCTACAGACATAGGAAAAATATTTAATGGTTCTGGTAAGAAACGGAATTAAGGTTAAAGAGGAATGAAATTTTTTTTTCATCCACAAACTTTGAAGGTAAAGAGCAATGGCCTAAAGTTTAAGCTGCTTAAGACCTTTCAATAGAAATGTATTAAGACCCCATATAATGCATTATGAATAAAGTGCAGTGCATCCATAGGATGGAATATTATATGCCCATTGAAGGTGGCATTGATAGAGACATATGTTGCCATGAAAGATGTACTTTCAGTAGCTCAAATGAGAGAACAGTCCATTTGGAGTGGCTTAGTGGTTAAGGGAGCCAATCCCACATGGCTAAGTGAGCCATTAGAATCTTCACCATTGTGGTTTGAAAAACATACCAGGTGTGTGTGTTGGGGGGAGGGATTTCCCAAAGTCCTCTAAGATGGAGAAATGGAGGAAAAGGGATTGTGAAATCACTGTGTGTGTGTGTGTGTGTGTGTGTGTGTGTGTGTGTGTGTGTGTGTTGGGGGGCATTTCTTTATGCTATATTTTTAGTGGAGCCCTCTTCCCCCATACTACTTTAAAGAACTAAATTCATTAAGTGACAGTAATAAGATTAGAACTGCCATAGAGCTGTTGTATATATCATCTGTAATCTTAAGGCATCATTGTGAGATGCCCAATTACTTTGTGCATTAATAATTTTTAAAATGCTGCCAATTATTGTTGTAATAGTTCATGGACTCTTAGTAGCATTTCAATGTCATAGATGTTAAACTGTGAGACAATGAGCATCTTAGAATCATTCAAATGTATACAATTATCTCTATGAAAACATGGCTGTAAAGTTGATATAATTGTATCATTTTCCTTAATTAAAAAGTCATCTTTGGGCCAGCTGGTGGCAGTGTGGTTAAGGCAGCTGGATCCCATACGGCTGACTACATAGTCTAAGTCCTGGACCCCATAGCTTGAGGAACATGCTTGGTGTGCGTGTGTGTGTCCCAAATCCCTGGAAGAATGCAAGAGAAGGGATTGTGGCACGACCATACTCTGTATGAGGCTGCTCCCTACCATCTCTCTGTCTCTGTTGAATGCATGCCTCTCTGGCAACTTTTTAAACTGTGGTCTTTGTTAACTAGCAGTAACTGTAATACTTGCAACATTCAATACTTTTGAGCCATTATTGGGATTAGATACTAAGTATTTCCCATATATTCTCATTAAGAATTCTATTGATGTCCTTTGACATAACTACTATTTCTTATCTCTACTGTATTGGTAAAAAAAATGAGGCACAGAAGGGATAAATGATAGTCAGTAAATGAGAGCCTACAGTAGGACTCAGGGCCAGGTGGTGGTGCAGTAGCAGCTCAAGTGGACTCCCACGGGGAAGGTCCTGGTTTTGTACTCTGGGACCCTCCAGAGCATGTTGATTACATGTACTTGTGATCTGTGCATACCGAGTCTAGGGTGACAGGGGTGCTTGAGGCATAAAAACCATGTTGGGGGTTTCTGTTTTGTCATTGCTACTGTTAAGGTTTTTGCCATAGGACGTGTCCACTCAGCAGAGAGAGAGAAACAGTGAGAGGGAAGATGAGAAATCACCCCTCATGCACTGCAGGTCCCTCTCTCCTGTTCTCCTGGGATTTGGGCACACATGCTCTCATGCTGGTATGAGTTTCAAGCCTCTATATCCAGGACTTGAACCACGGTCAGTCATGGGGAGTCCAATGCCTTAACCACCACATCATCTGCTGGCATGAATGAATGAATGGATTGATGGGTAGCTAGATAAAATTCCAACCCAGTTAAGCTGAATCCAAAGGGCATGCTTTTTCTGTACACATAGGCTATGATTTCATTCATGTTGTGAGTAATATGAGTTAGTAAATATTGTACTTTGTTCAGATGAAATTAAATACTTGTCTGAAGGCACAGGAATAACATGCTAGTTAATGTTTACAGTTCCATACATAATGGTATGTTTTGAAACAGTGCACTAAAATTTCCTGAAATGTGTTTGTTCTTTTGTAGAACTGCTCTACATTTGGCCTGTGCCAGTGACCATCCAGAAGTGGTGACTCTTTTGGTAGACAGAAAATGCCAGCTAGATCTTCTGGATGGTTATCACAAGACAGCCCTAGTAAAGGTATATAGTAGAGAACTGTTTCAGCATGAGATGGCTTTGATTTAAGTACTTAAAAATTAATTCATCTCATTTAACTACAACTAACTGGTGAAACTTGTAGAATGCTTATTTTGAATTCTTAGGACTTACAATTTATTTCTTGGTATGATACTTATAGGCTATCCAGTGCCGGAATGAAGAGTGTGTGAGCATTCTTCTAGAGCATGGAGCCAATCCAAACATTGCCGATTACTGTGGCGATGCTGCTCTTCATTATGCTGTTTATGGTAATAATGTATCAATAGCAGAGAAACTACTTTTTCACAATGCTCGTATAGAAGCCATAAACAAGGTATGCATCAAAATATGTTTTCTAAATATGAGATGTAGTTTTTTAAAAGATGACGTATGTTGGGTCAGTTTTCTACATTTGAAAGCTTAAGCATTCCCTGAATGAAAAGGTTTTGAAATAACATAACTGCATAAGATTTCAAGTTAAATATTGATTATTTTCTTGTCTTAGGACTTGTGCAGTCACCAGAGAGAAAGACAGACAGACAGAGAGGAATAATGAAAAATCGCTCTCCAGGGGAATGATCAAGCTGCAATCCCTGTTCTTCCATTTTTCCCAAAGATTTTGAAAACACACACACAGGCACCCAATGTGTTTTGCAAGCGACTATGTAAAGAACTTCAACCCTGAAGTTGGCCATGTGAAATCCAGAGCC